CTCTCTCTCTCTCTGATTCTCGCCTACAGCCGCCCCTATGTACCATATCTGCAATCCTAAGCGCATCACCCAGGCAAGCCCGATGCGCCAAACCCTCCGATTCCTGTGAGTAAGACCCGGGCGATCCACACGAACATCTGCACACCAAAGGCAAAGTACCTGAGATTCTGGGTCTGGGATCCGACCTCTAAAAACTCCTGGGTTGCAGGTCCCTGTAAACCCTAGGCCCTAGACCGCAAAAACAGGAAGGTTCGGTTCAGGGATGGGGCTGCGATTGGGAAGCAGAGCTTCGGGTGCTTGCCAATGCACCCGCCCTCCGCCTCGTGCCCGGAGGTCTAATTTGAGTGTCTAAATGAAAGTCGGGTCATCCAATCGTTAGCGGCAAGTTGCAAGATGCCAGCCAGCGCACTCAGGTATGCTTCTCGCGAGCCGAAGATGTAGAACTGATTGCAGATTTTGGCCATCATGGGAGAGGACAACATCCAGGAAGCCCAAATCAAGCAGGAAGCCTGAAATTTGGGGCTTGATTGACGTTGAATGACGTGGGTGAAGATTCCAGCAGCAGCGGATAGCCAAAGTTAGCAATGCTGGTGGGGGGGGGGGGGGGGCCCNNGGGGGGGGGGGGGGTCCTACGGCTGCTACGGTAGGGCATGATGACCAAACCGGTGCAAGGACGGCTGCATCTAATGCAGTGAGGTGAGGTTGGAGAAAAAAAACGCTGTGAACCCCTTATCTTCAACCCGGGCTATAGTTGGTTTACGCCTTATCGTTTTACAAGGTATCAAGGAATATCGCGCATGACAAGTGTGGGCACAGGCTTGGCTCATTGCAGCATCTTGCAACCCCTCTACAATTATGTATCCCAAGATGTCCATAGGTCGTACGAACAGGTTACTAGAAGCTGGCACGAGTACCGGATGACTCGCGTCCTTCAAAAGGCACTTCTGTCAAAGCAAAGTTATCACTGGTGTTATCGTTTGGACACTCAACTTGCCTCGGATTTTTAAAGGTTGCGTGTAGCAAGTCTCCAAGCTTCAGTTTGCACGTAGCAATGGCAGAAGCAGTAGCAAGAGCAGTAGCAGTAGTAGCAGCAGGAGCTTAGACCGTAGAAGCAGCGTTGGTGTTAGCTTTAGCAGTAGGAGTGGGAGCAGTACTAACAGGAATAGTCTTAGAAGTAGAACTAGCAAGTAGCGCCAATAAAGTTAGTAGCATCAGCAGTACATGTTGTTTTGCTTCTTATCGGTTCATATACGGGCTAGACCTCACAAGGGGCGTCATCTACAAGAACCCCGCTTGTTAGTCAACCTCAAGTTTTAAACAGCCAAGCCGCCAAAGCTCGCGTCTCGCTTGCGATTTCACCACACAAGTTCGAGACTATCGCAGCAAGTCTAATTAATTGCTAAGCTGCCCGAAAGCTGGAGGTCAGCCTAAGACACTGTTTGTAGCTACGCTAGCTATTCTTCGCTTCCGTCAGAGCAGGCAAGCGGCGAGAAAGACAACCCAAGTCACCCTCGCTGTGAGGTTCATGCGGGGGGAGTGATACCTCGCCATGTAGATCGCAGGGCTCGAGATTGCGTGAGGTTGACTGTCAAACACATTAGCCCTGTAGCCTTAGTATAAGCGGGCATCATGTCTGGCCGCACGCAAGATTCCAAGAGAAGCCTGCATACATCCCTGTCCAAGCTAGCCTTTTCCACTCATGGAAAATTGCACGGCTTCGGACTACTCAGTGTTCAGGGAAAGGTTCCATCATAGTGTATTCTCTATAAGGGTTGGGTAAGTATAAGAGGGTCCGAGTTTTACGCTGCAGTTTTTATGCTTGTTGCGTTCGCAGAATTGGTTCTGACTTTGGGTCTAAGTTTGTCAGGGTCTGATTGTAGTTGTGTCGATGGTATTCGGTGAAAGGCCGAGAGTGGATCTTCAGGTCCTTGCAGAAAATAGTTTTGGCTTCTCTCAGCTTGACTCAGCTGTCCTTGCGGTAGGGAAAATCCGATACTGTATCGTTGCCTTTACTTCGCTTACTGTTTTGGGAAAGGGGGGCCCGGACAAAGTAGTTCAGGGAAGCTGTAATCCGGGCTGGACACGTACTTGGCAATTGGAATAGGTCTTTGGGGTGGAGCCGACTCAAAATCTTGACAATGCAACGTCAACCAGAGTGACAGGTGCACCTCAGAGCGAATTAAGCTCGACGCCTATCAATCACACGACTCACTAACAGAATCATGGCAGAGTTCCTGATGCAAACTGATCAGGGACATCCTGAGCAACTACAGAGAAGTCAAGAAGTCAAGCGTGACAAGACATCTACGGGCGAGATCGCGTGGCGAAGAACACCAACGAAAAGGCTTCCTGCAGTTCACTGAGGGCTCATTAAACCTCCATCACCGGGGTTTTCGGCGCTCACACTCGGACAATCCAGGCGAGGCGTATGATGGGCGGTCTGCAAAGTGAAACAGCTGCACACGGGTCAAACCAAGAACAAGGGCCCCTAGTATAGTGAGATCCCCTAAGTGTACAATGTCGCATGTGACTACACCAAAATCAACACTGCTTCTGTAACTAGTTGGCGGACTTCGGTGACTACGCCGAGGAGGCTAAATCGGGTCGTAGGGTGTCATAGGAGACATAGAGATAAGGGGGCCAATAAGGGGTGAACTAATGAGCCGGGACAGCTCAGGTATAATAGTAGTCTCCTCTAAGTCATCTCGACTTCGGTTTTGAGGTTTACGGTTTCTAGGGTTTGTAGACGAATACAAGTACCCTAAGGGGGGATTGTTGCAGCGCCAAACCATGCCAGCACACTCCCAGAGCTCAGGTCTCGGGCGCATTGCCATCCAGTCGATGGGCAGGGACCTGAAAAGGGAAGCTCGCCAGGTTGCGGCCCGGTACGTTTCTTGGGGTACCAACTTTTCTGTATAACCGATCCGAGCCATAACACCAGGCACCATACAATACCTACAAAAGCCGTAGGTACGGTTCCGGTGCAATCGCTTCATTTTCATGGGCACGGTGCGGCTAGCTACGAAAGGACTCAGCAGTTCTGCCATGGTGCGAAACTCGAAGTGACTGAGGGGGGTGGATTGCTGCGAAGCGGTGGGCAATCGTGCCCAGATCAGAATCACACCTCCACTATGTCCTCGTCCTTTCTGCTAGATTTCTTGCAGAGGCCACACATGCCAACAGCAGCAAATTCGTCTCCTGTCATCCCCTTTCGGCGGCGTTTCAGATGGATGGGTTGGTTTCCCCAGCGTGAAGTGCCGTCGCAATGCTGGCAGGAACTCGGGGTACAGTTCCGGGTAGCATTACATTCGACAGCCGTGGAAGTAATTGCATGCCTCTATGCGGTCCACCTACTGCGGAGCATAATTGTTTTCACCGGATCGAAGGCAATCCAACTCGAAACACCTCTGACATGTTTCACTCCAAGTAGCTGCACCAGTCGGAAAATGAGGAAAGCTGGAAAGCACCAAATGGCGGCCATGACGACAGCCTTATCCGTCGGGCATGCAGCCAATGCGCCAACAGCTTAAGACCCGAAAGCCCAACCCGAAGCCCCTGCGATGAAGAGGGAGACCCAGCTCCTCCCTGTTGTGGAGGAAACATGGTTTTGGGGTTTTGGGTTTAGGGGGTCACTTCTAAGTTCTGGAATCTCAATAGCACTCTTGCCGGCAAGGTTCAAGCAGCACATTCAAGACCCAGCCGCCGGCTGACGTGTTCAGGATCAGCTCGATGGATCTGGGGAGGTTTCGGGTGCCCTCGGGCTTGGGCTTGGGGTGGCTGTGTTGGCCCAGATCTGAGGGCTTCGAGCTTTCAGACTATCTTGCCCCAGGCTGCTTACCCGTACTAGCCGCCCGAGGTGCAACAATCAACGTATGACGATGGCGGCTAGGAAGCTTCTCATTCCTTCAACTGTTAATGCTACTTCATTTCTGGTAACCTTCGAATGACTTCGCTGCTACACCAGCTTGCCGACATCCTGCTGTGCATACCCTGCCTCGCGGACACCGGACCGATGCCGATGCCAACACAAATGGAGACAACCTCAGGCTGTGCTAAGGAGCTTCAGGTCGGTTCACGGCTATCCCGTACCCCACAAGGCATGTAGCTCCAAGGCTCATTAGGCTGCTGGAGCCAAGCACCTCACAAAGATCCTAGGTCTGAACGGCGCTTGACCCTGGAGTCCGGGTGAGTCCCACCTCGGATACTCCTGGTACACTCTGGTGCGCTCAAAAACAGGCTCAGAGACAGAAGTGGGACATAGCTGGAACTGACAGCTGGTTCAAAGAGAAAGAGTGCCAGGAATTGTGTACGCAGTTTCAGACTAAGACGAAGCTGTGCCCACCGAATGGCTTCTATCAGTTTAAGTATTTGTCAGAATAATCGTAACAGGACGAAAGGAAGTGTCGCAGCCACGCAGCTCCCAGAAACACCACGTAGCACAGGAACTGGTGGCAGGCATAGACGCCTCGCAGCTGATCAATGTTGAGCTGGTCATACCACGCCTGCTCGAACCACTGTGGGGCTTCAGATTTGTAGCTGACCAAGCCACTTTGGTTCATTGCGACATAGCATGTGGGCTCATGTCATGCTTCGTTCGCGATTCTGTTGAGCATGCCACTACTGCCTGGCAAGGGGACACACATTGTGATTGCTCTTTTTTTCACAAGGGACTCGGCTGCTGCCCTTACTGCCCAGCTTGACCCACAAGACAGTACTCATGACTGAGATGCGAGACNNTCCAAGCTTCAGGCACAACTTGGTACGAGACGACTTCTGAAATTTTGCATAGAGCTTGACGGTGACATCATATAAAGTATGCTCAAAAAGATCAAAGGTATCTTGCGGGAGGAGAACCTGAAAGGAAAGCCAATTGCCTACATAGCGCAGATAGCAAAGCACAACTTCCAGAACATTGAACATATCCGAAGTTATTGCTCTGCTTAGCATGATTTCTTGTTCTGTATGATGTCTGAGGAGGTCGAAAATGTCAATGGTTCGAGGATGCGTCGAGGAGGTTTAGATCCAGATATCCTGCAGCAAAAGAACGCCTATCAAGGTTGATGGCATTCTGTATGGGTTACATGGTCTGAAAACGAAGCTGAAGCTCGCAACGAGTAGACCACCGACAGCACCAGCGAGATTCGAGTGCTGAGCCCTACACCTCGCACTCTGCTTCACACAAATAAACTCTGAAACGACTTCTATTCCAGCATCGCACCCCGATGTATTGGCAACCATTCATGTCCGGCAACCCTTCTGCGATCTTTGAGGTTTGCTGCTGCCGCCGTCTCAATTAATATGTCTGATCTTCTGACCTGGCTGTATACCAATGGATATCGGATGTCCTTAGTGACCGGCTTACACAGGCCATTTTCTGTTACAAGTATTGCACATGGGTGTGTTACTGCCATTATTTCGATACCCTGCCGCTCAACGGCCTCCGCATGATAGCCGCATGCCGAGCTGACGAGCAAAGTTCCAGTGCCCCTCGGCATGGTATGTCTTTTCCAGGGAAGCTAATCACGAATACGTATCGGCAGAAATTTGCGGGAAACTAACTTCACATGCACAAGCAAAACCACAAAAAACCAGGAGCATGTACCCTCCCTGCAGACTCAGGCTCACCCCATTGGATTTGTTCACCAGGCGGTAGGGTGCATCATACCTGGGAAGATTGTTTGACAATGCAACCACAGTATATCATATGGCGCTACGTCTCACGCTAGTTTCGAGAATCCTTTTGTGCTGTCTTCTGGTACTGACCGTACTCAGCACCAAGAGTTCAAGGTGCGCGACTGCCGGAAAGCAGTCCGCGGCAACGGTCTGCACACGGCCATAGCAAAGAACAATCGATGCCGGTGAAGAGCAACATCAGGACGCGTGCGACAAGAACAGATACGAACAGGAGAACAAAACGATTACGCCAGGCTGTGAGTGTGACTCGCGAGCACCGGACAAATGCTTACGACGAGAAAGTGACATCACATGACGGTAATGCAATAGTACTGCGTTGCAGTGCGACATATGCAATGTGAAGCGTGCTTCTGGCAGAGGAGCCACACGTTGTATTCTGTTGAGCATTCAGAAGCTGCTAGAATTGCTGTGTCTGACCAGAAGCTTTGCAGGGCATTCCAGGATCTCAGCGCAGGCCGAAGAAGATCTGTGACTAGCATTACCGAAAATAAATCAAGACTTTCCGTCTACCTTCTTTGCTCCAGGGCATTATGGATACAAGATGATAGAAGTCTGGCCAGCACAAGGAAGACGAAAATGTGCGAAGCTGGCTCTCTGAATGTCGGCCGAGTTGCTGCTGGTAGTACAAGTAGTCGCCAACGAGCGGGGCACGATGGACATTCTCCAACTTCCTATGGTGTTTCTGGAATTGGGTCCATTTCATACACTTCATCTTTACACACTTTACCCATCATGGTTGCTCGCCTCAGCGCCCGCCGTCCGGCAACATGAACTAAAACACGACAGCCGAGTCGCTTCAGTTGCACTGCACATGCAGCAGCAAGTCCCCGAGCTGCAAATTAAAGCAAAAAAGCCTGCAAGACCAGACCTCCCGCTACGGATTCCTGCGCCAAAACCGCATACCCATCGTCGTGCTGTTGAGCTCGTAAGGGCACGCATGATGTGGCAAGCAAGTTCGATTTCTTGCAGCTTGCAGAGCTGTGTGGATGCCTCGCTACGAACGAAACCCTAAATGCTGTACTCTTAATCCCTGAACCCTGTAACCTCAGCGAATCGTTCGTACTTGCGCTTCTGTTGCTTCCGTGCTGGGCCCTGGACAAATTACTAACGACCTTGTGAAGTCGCAGGCGAATTACTGATGTTGAATATACTGAAGTAGAATGTAGTGTGAGATGAGCTGGTACGAAACTAAATCTTAGATATGATATCTAACATTATGAAAGGTAGATGTACGCACACACACACACACACATATATATATATATATATGGGCATATTCATGGTGTGTACCTACCTATCTATCTATTTATCTATCTATCTGTTTGTCTTTCCATCTACCTATCTATCTGTCTGCCTAGTTCCTGAGATCCCTGGCGCAAACTAGGCTGACCTTTCCATTATCATAAGGTCATGATAAATAAATAGCTGGCTAGATAGCTAGAAAGATAGAGTGTTAATTAGACCGAATAAAGTTTGGATCGACACATATACATATGTCTATATATATATATATATATATTCCTACATACATACATACATACATACATACATACATACATACATACATACATACACACACATACATGTTTAGCACTCGAGCGCACACATACACATACACATACACATACACATACACATACATGCATGCATGCATGCAAACATACAAACATACATACGTCCATAAATGCATGCGCACAGACACACGCACTCAGACAGACAGACATACATACATACATACATACATACATACCTACACACACTTGATTACATAATGCATGCATACATACCCACATTACACACAGTACATGCGTACACATACGCACATGAAAGTATAAAGCTATGCACACACGCAGACATGTATGCCAGCATACATGCATGCATACATACATACATACCTACACACACTTGATTACATAATGCATGCATACATACCCACATTACACACAGTGCATGTATGCCAGCATACATGCATACATACATACATACATTTTTTAGCACTCACACTCGACAAAGCAGGCATACATACATACATACATGCATACATACATACATACATACATACATATAATACTTACTTACTTACTAGTTAGATACACACCGTAACACACTCACACATGTCACATGCACACATTGCATACGTCTCTGGGTAATTTGAGCCAATGATGATGATTAACATGTGCATGTGTATATATATATATGTATATATATGTATGTATGTATATGCATACATACACATGCTTATGATATGCTCTACGCCCAAAAGGTTGAATGATTCCTAGTCCGCGAAATAAATCAAGCCGAAGTCTTGAATTTCCAACAAGCCTGTGAACAACAAACGATGTATTTATCCGAGCTGCCGTACGGCCGTGATAAACAGCAAGCATGGCGTGCCAATGGCAAATATGGATTCAAGCTCGGGTAGGACGTAGTAGCAAGCACACTCACCTCAGGTGAGCAGAGCCAGCACAGCCTAGGAAGAAATGCGCATTCGAATAAACTCCCCTGGTTTTTTCGCTCGGACCTGCGTCTACAGGGGCGTTCATAGTTGGACATAGATGACAGCACAGATTCCCAGACAGCGAAAACCCACGCACCCGCCACTAAGGAAGATACCATGACGACCACGACCACGACCACCAAAACCAACAGAACGACCAGGACAACCTGAATTTGAATGACCACGCGGGCCAGCACCAGACGATCAGGAGAACCAGGACCACCACCACAGGACCACGATGCCAGAGGCAGGACGGAAGGCACCACATTCAAAATCGGTTCCCTGTGCGCCGGCGGGATGAGAGCTGACGCGAACCCCGAGTTGGCAGTAGCAATCGCAGTCAGTATCATTACCTCATACCATGCTTGTCCATTCCATAATTCAGAATGTTCATGCCGTTAGGATAAGGCCGTGGCTATGCTGACCGTCCATCATCTTTCCCTGCAAGTTCGCTCTCTCCCACTGGAGCAGAGCTTTTAGACCCCAAGCAATATTCCTTTCAAGACCATAATAATCCGCAAACTGGACACCCCGTAAGCCCCTTGCAGAAGCCATTGAAGCCCTTGCCATTCAGGCTCTAGCGGCCATTCCCCATAGGAGACAAGAACACCTCCACAGCGCCCATGCCTGGCTTTCTTGGTGGTCGTAATACCCCCGCGACTTCAACGCTTGAGTGCTTTAGGACTTTAGGATTTTTCTTTCCGCATAGCTAGGACCACACAGCGTGCTTCCCAAACCAGCCAGAATTGAAAGACTACACGGTGCTCATCATCCACAAGACGACACCTATGCAACCGGAGCATGACTGGGGCAGCCTTTTGCTATCAGGGGTTTCAGCACTCGGGGGTTTACCACAGTCAGGTTAACTGCAGAAGAAGCGCGAGGTATCCAGCCCGCTTTCCGGCACCCCGCTCCAGCACTATAATATAGTCGCTGCGGGTCGAAGTTTGGCTCAGAAGAGCCATATATGGTTTAGCATCACTGCGCATTTCGTCGCTGCGGCGATACTGTTAGTAACTATCTGGAGCAAGTGTCATCATTACATGAACTACATAGTTCGCATAGTTTCAACCTTGCCGGGAAGGCTCCAGAGGAAGGCGGCGCACACGGCCAGAAGATGAAAAAACGTAGACACCAAGCCTTCCATCATAGTGCGGATTCGTTTTTAGGAGTATTTTGCTCTGTTTATATGCAAGCTTTCACCAAGACTTTGACAGCTGTCCTAATGCTTCACGAAGATGGCTGAGTCTACTGCCACGACCTTCTTCGTTTCATGCAAATGCCATGCTGCTACGACAGCGGACGAGGAGCAAAACGACGCTGCTGCTGCCTGTAGTGTTGCTGCCACCTTCACTGTTTCCTTCTCCTCCTCCTCCCCTACCCCTGCAGCTATTGTTACTGCCTATGACATGCACGCGAAGTCTCCCAAAGCCTATTCGCAGAGTTGTGTACTCGTGCGCTCCGGCAAGCAGCAGCCAATCGTGAAGGATCCTGGACAATGACAGGTTAGCGAAGGCGGCAAACGACGCCAGCAGCGATCACAACCGCAAACATGATGGGAATCGTGACAGTATCATCATCCGCAGTAAAACGCAACACCAAGCGCAACCACAACAGCAACAGCGACAACCACAACCACAACAATAATACTAATAGTAATTCTAATGACAACAGCAATAACGACAACAACAACAAAAGAGGTAAAGCGGCCTTCGAGTTCCCTACAGAGGTTGTGGCCGCTGGCGAGGGGACCGCCTTGCGATCATCGCAAGTACCTCCTTCATCCGTTTCTGGAGCAAAAGACAGAAGTAATGTTCCGAAGCCTCGGGCCAACCATCAACCTTAAACTGGAACACAAAAACCGAGCTAAAGAAACAGAGAAGGGCGCTCAACCCGAACAGGATCTTCAGAGAAGGAAAAAGAGGAGCCTTTGCTAGAAAAAATTAAAAGAGTCGGGACTAAGTTAAGTGAAATATGCCGCTGCATATTGCACAGTGCAGCGGCATCTCTTCAGCACTTGCTTCAAGGAGGCAGGTCACTTGACCTTGCTATCAGTTCCCAAGAGCGGTGCCCTGGTGTTGTCAGGGCGGTGCCCGCGACTCCTCCGTCACCCTCAATGTGAGTCATTGCGTCAGCCGGTGGGTCGTACTCAGAAGAGTCGTCTCCCAGAGTTCCCGTCTAATGGCGTCTCACACTATTTAGGTAGCTCCCGACTACCAGCGATGGGCCGTAGGATGGTTTTCCGTCGAAGCACACCAACCGTCACGCCTAGCACTGCCTGACCCCGTCGGTANNCAACTGGGAGGGCCGTAGCCGAAGCCCGACACCCATAGCACAGCAAATGCTGTCGCTTAACGACTGTACCCAGATGTGACGTGGAGCCGTACCAAAGTAGACACCGTATTGGGACTGAAGACGTTGGCCTGCTCTTCCGAACCTGAGTCCACGGTGTCCCAATGTGCGACTTGTCCTGAAAACAAATCTGGCCCGGCGGCGTGTGGATAGGCTTCCCCCTCACCAGGGGAAAGCCATCCCAGGTCCTCAAGGGCACCCCATAGCAAGAGAGGTCCCCAGGGTGCTCATCGGAGGCAGCACTGGGAAGATGCTGACGAGTTGTAGGCCGTGTAGTTGCGCCCATCCTTTCCTGTGTCTGACTTGTTCCCAGGCGGTTGCGGCTTAACTGCAGTATTGCGCAAGAAAAGTTCTCAACAGTGACATTAAAGGCACTCGATCGCACTGCCTTTGTCGCAACCGGTGGCAGTCTACCCTGCCACCGGAAAAAGCTGTGGTTTCCGAAGCTGACTGCGCGGAAAGCGAAGGCGATCCGGGTCTTTCTTGTAAAAGAGTGATCGCTGAAGCGCAAAACCATAGTGCCAGCAAAACTGCGCGAAAAAGACCTTCCGCTGTCCCTGGGCGTCTTGTCCAGAAGTTGAAAACCGATGAAAGGCAAGGAGCGAGGCCTCGTCTCGAAAGCTTCCTTCACAGTACCCAAGTTAAGAAGACGGCCAACTTATGACTGGATCTGCTCCTTGAATGGCTTCGTGTGGCAGGTCCTCTTGTTAACAGAAAGGCATCGGCGGGAGCAAACACTGACGCACAGTCGGCGCACCATCCGCTTGTTTCGCAAGACTCCTTGTAACATTGGGTATGCCCCCTCCACCACGCGGAAAGGTGGAAACCCTACCGCTTACTTCCCGCTCGTCCAGAACTTGCCGTCGACGAGGGGCCCGGGAATTGGGACCCGGCAGGCAGTCCACAGAGGCACGAAGCTCCGAGGTACACTCGAATGGCTCAAGCAGTAGGACGTCGTCTGTGAACCTTAGCGCCGTAGCGGCAACAACAACAGCAACAAATGTTCCTTCTCTTGCTACTGCCACTGCTACTGCAAGTGCGACCACCGCCGCCACCACCACCACCACCACCACCACGACTTCTGCTTTACTACTTTACTACTTTACTACTTTACTACTTTACTACTTTACTACTACTACTACTACTGCTGCTGCTACCACTACTACTACTACTACTACTACTAGTACTACTACCAGTACTAGTACTAGTACTAGTAGTGCTTCTTTACCTTAAAGTCTCCATGTAAGAGTCGCAGGCGCGGGCCGCCGA